GATAAGACTTTATGAAAAAGTGGCCCTTGCTCATAGATGAGAGGGATTTAGGAACTTTAGTCCTAGTAAGAGGTCACTGCTTAAAGGCCGATTCACAGGCTCTGGCATCTAGGAATAGGTATTGGTGATTTTTGGCCGACTTTACATGGATGAGCACAAGGCTCATTTTGAGCGACACATTAATAGGGATGTTAATAAACTGAGGGTATTGAGGGGAGAGAGATGAATATGATGAAGCATTTGAAGAAAGGTGAGAACTTTCTGCAATTCACCTGAAATTTACTGAATGGGAGCCGTTTAGATTGGGCAGCTCAGGCTTCCTTTTTTAAAAATCCTCACCTGAGAATATGTGTATTGATTTCTGCCTGCTGGATTGGTCCCTTTTTGAGAGGAGGGCATTAATTTGTCCAACTATGATAGTGAATTTATCTCTTCTTGCTGTTCTATTAGCTTTTGCCTCACATAGTTGGGACGTTTTGTTTTTAGATGCATACATGTTAAGAATTGTTGTGTCTTATATAATGCCTTTTTAAAAATCCCTGATAACTTTTCTTTGCTTCGAAGTCTGCTTTGTCTGAAATTAATTTAATTACGCTTTCCTTTAATTAGTGTTAGCATGGCATATTTCCTCCAGCCATTTACTTTTCATCTATATGTGTCTTTAAAGTGGGTTTCTTGTAGACAACATATAACTGGCTCTTGTGCTTTGATCCACTTTGACAGTCTGTGACTTTTAATTGGTGCATTTAGACCATTGACAGTCGAAGTGATTATTGATATAGTTGGATTAATTTCTCTTGCATTCATTATTGTTTTATATTTGTTGTGTTTGATCTTTATTCCTATGTTTGTCTTTCACTCTTTTTGCCTTTTGTGGTTTTAATTGATCATTTTATATGGTTACATTTTCTCTCCTTTCTTAGTATACTAGTCATAGTTCTTTTTTAGTGGTTGCCCTAGATTTTGCAATATACATTTACATCTAATCCAAGTACACTTTAAAATAACAATATATTACTTCATGAGTAAGTGAATACTCTATAATAACAAAATAATTCTAATTCCTACCTCCATCCCTTGTATTATTTCTGTCATTCATTTTACTTTATATATACATATCTGTATGTGTATATAAAAGCTTATGTAATCAGATACATTGTTTCTATTATTTAACCAAATTGTTATCTGGTAGATCAATTAAGTAAAAAATTTTACTTTTACCTTTTTCTTTTCACCTTATTTAGTGCTCTTTCTTTTTTTATGTAGATCCAAGTTTCTGACCTATATTCTTTTTCTTTTCTCTGAAGAACTTTTTAAAACATTTGTTACAAGGCAAATCTGCAGACAAGCATTGCATAATGATTGGGATGTGTTCTGAGAAATGTTTTAGATGATTTTTGTCATTGTGCAAACATCATAGAGTGCGCTTACATAAACCTAGATGGAATAGCCTACTGCACATCTAGGCCATATGATACAGCCTTTTGCTCTTAGGCTGCAAACCTGTACATCATGTTACTGTACTGAATACTGTAGGCAGTTGTAATACAGTATTCAGTCTTTGTGCATCTAAACATTGAAAAGCTGCAATAAAAATACTATATAAAATACAAAAAATGATACACCTACATAGGGCACTTACCATGAATGGAGCTTGAGGACTGGAAGTTGCACTGGGTGAGTGAGTGAGTGAGTGAGTGAGTGGTGAGTGAATGTGAAGACCTAGGCCAGGGGTCTTCAAACTTTTTAAACAGGGGGCCAGTTCACTGTCCCTCAGACATTCCACACATGTGCACTGCGGGCCCGGGACAAGTCGGCTGCTAAGCAGGACAGGCAGTGGCGGCAAAAACACCTGGCGGGCCAGATAAATGTTTTCGGCGGGCCGCATGTGGCCCGCGGGCCGTAGTTTGAGGACCTCTGGCCTAGGCCATTACTGTCCACTGCTGTAGACTTTATAAACACTGCACACTTAGGCTACAGTAAATATATAAAATAACTTTTTTCAACCCTTTTGTAATAACACTTGGCTTAAAACACAAACATATTGTAAAGCTGTACAAATATATTTTCTTTATATCATTCTGTAAGCTTTTATTTTATTTTTTTAATCTTTATTGTTCAGATTATTACAGATGTTCCTCCTTTTTCCCCCCATAGCTCCCCTCCACCCGGTTCCCACCCCACTCCAGGCCTTCTCCCCCTCCCCACTGACCTCGTCCATAGGTGTAAGCTCTTTGTCCAATCTCTTCTTGCACCCCCCGCAACCCCTTCCCCCTGGGAATTGTCAGTCTGCTCCCTTTCCATGCCCTGATTCTATTACATTCACCAGTCTGTTCTGTTCATCAGGTTTTTTATTCATTTGATTTTTAGGTTCACTTGTTGATAGATATGTATTTGTTGTCACTTTGTTCATAATTTTTTCTCTTTACCTTTTTCTTCTTCTTCCTCTTCTTAGAGAATAGCCTTCAGCATTTCTTATAATACTGGTTTGGTGGTGATGAACTCCTTTAGCTTTTTCTTGTCTGTGAAGCTCTTTGACCTTCAATTCTAAATGATAACTTTCTGGGTAGAATAATCTTGGTTGTAGGCTCTTGCTATTCATCACTTTATATATTTCTTGCCACTCCCTTCTGGCCTGCATAGTTTCTCTTGAGAAATCAGCTGACAGTTGTATGGTCACCTCCTTACAGGTAACTGACTGTCTTTCTCTTGCTGCTTTTAAGATTCTCTCTTTGTCTTTAGCCCTTGGCATTTTAATTATGATGTGTCTTGGTGTGGTCCTCTTTGGATTCCTTTTGTTTGGGGTTCTCTGCGCTTCTTGGACTTGTACGTCAATTTCTTTCACCAGGTAGAGGAATTTTTCTGTCATTATTTCTTCAAATAGGTTTTTAATATCTTGCTCTCTCTCTTCTTCTGGCACCCCTATAATTCTGATGTTGGTACGCTTGAAGCTGTCCCAGAGGCTCCTTACACTATCTTCATATCTTTGGATTCTTTTTTCTTTTTGCTTTTCCGGTTGGGTGTTTTTTGCTTCTTCATATTTCAAATCTTTGACTTGATTCTTGCGATCCTCTTGTCTGCTGTTAAATCTCTGCGTATTATTCTTTATTTCAGTCAGTGTATGCTTCATTTCTGATTGGTCCTTTTTCATATCCTTGAGGGTCTCACTAAATTTCTCGGAGGTTTCCAGAAGATTCTTGAGTAGCCTTATAACCGTGGTTTTGAACTCTGTAATCCAGTATTTTGCTTTCATCCATTTCTTTCATTTGTGACTTGTTTCTTTGTCTCTGCATTTTGGCTGCTTCCCTGTGTTTGTTTCTATATACTGGGTAGCTGCTAAGTCTCCTTGAGTTGATAGAGTGGCCTTGTGTGGTAGGTGTCCTATAGGGCCAAGTGGCTCAGCCGCCCCAGTCACCTGAGGTGGACGCTCTTGGTGCACCCCTTTGTGGGCTGTTTGCACAGTCCTGTTGTAGTTAACCCTTGATGGCTGTTGGTATCATTGGGAGGAATTGACTTGCAGGTCAATTGGCTGTGGTGACCAGCTGTGTCTACACTGGAAAATCTGTTGTGCAGGGGACACCCTTATGGGCAGGACTTGCTTCAGTGGGGCTTTGGTGCTCTCTGAGTCTGCCCCCTGAGTGTGTCTCTTATGGATGTGAAGAGATAATCCGGTATGGTCTCACTCTGACCACTGGGTACACTGGCTCTTGGATCTCCAAGGAGGTGCAAAGTCAGCCACTGTCTGGGGCCACCCAGCAGGAGCTACAGAGACATCTGAAGATTCCTCCCCTTTGTATGGGGTTTGTAAGTGCCCAGACAAGGCCCAGCTGTGAAGCAAGGCAGGTTGCTGTTGCCAGGCCTTGGGCCTTCTTTTGGAAGCTCTGGGGTTCTCTGACCCAGCTGCATTTTGACAGGTTTTAGGCAGAGAAAGGACAAGCCATTCTTATGCAAAAGCCTCTGCACGCAGCTTGGGTGGGGTTGTAATTGGGTGGGGCGGGGTCTCTGGGAATCACCAGGACGGAGCAAACAGCAATGGCTGCCAGTCAGCCCTGCACCAGAGAGGTCCCTGGGTCTCCATGTCCCACGTCCCCGTGCAGGAACAGTGATCACTGTGAGCACCTCTGAGAGAAAGCTGACCTCGCGTTCCTGTCCTGATGCCAGGCAGTCCAGTTTCTCCCTGTATGTGTCTGGGTCCCCCAGAGTCTCACCCGGAACTGGAGTTCAGAGCAAGCGGGAGCTTGTATCTCCCTCCCGATTAAAAGAGCAGCACATCCAGGTGCCAGCACTTTCTGGGCCTCCACACCTCTTACCAGTCTCAATGCGCTTTCTTCACCTCTCTAATTGTGGAACTTCCATTCCATTCAGCCAGCTTTCCCGCGGTTCTGGGTGGTAGTTGTTCTGCCTTTTAGTTGTAACTTTGATGTGGTTGTGAGAGGCAGCAAGTATAGGTGTTTACCTCTGCCGCCATCTTGGTTCTCTCTCCTATTCTGTAAGCTTTTATCCATTTAAATATTTTTAATCTTTATTTTACTTTTTAAACTTCTTTGTTAAAAAAACAACTAAGATACAAATACATTAGCTTAAGCCTACACAGAGTCAGGATCATCAACATCATGGCCTCCCGCCTTACTTCTTGTCCCACTGGTGGGTCCTCAGAGGCAGTGACACGTGTGGGTAACAATGCTGTCTGTCTTCTGGATGCCTCCTGAGGACCTGCCTGAGGTTCTTGAGTTGTCACTCTTTTCTAAGTATGTCCATGGTGGTTGGCTAAGTTTGTTTCTTATTTTCGTTATAGATTTACTTGTAAGCAGATAATGTACCATGAACATTCCTCTCTATTAAAGGAAACCTTTCAGTGTTGGGGTCCATGTTTTCAGCATACTTAAGGAGCTGTTGAGGTCTGCAAAGGTTTCTTGTCAAATTAAATGGTACTCAGTAAGTGCTTGCCAAACAGAAATTGGTCTAAAAAGTGGTCTTTTTTTTTTTTTTTTAAATTTTAGATCACCAGGGGGTCCTTCAGGCCGGAGTGGACATCGTATGGTAGCCTGGAAGAGACAGTTAATACTTTTTGGTGGTTTCCATGAGAGTACAAGGTTAGTGCCAATAGCAGGAAGATCTTTCTTTCCTGCAGTAGTAAGGAGGGAACTTTTTATGGGAAAGACCATTGTGAATACACATGGAATATGCTGCCCCATCTCCTAACACCAGGGCATGCAGTTCAAGTAGCCAACCAGGGCTCCACACTCAGGAGGGCCTGAGCTTAGTTTAATGCTCTGCTGTCACTGTCTTGAAATTATTAATTATTGAACAGGCCCCACATTTTATTTTGTACTGAGCTCTATAGATGATGTGGTCATGTTATCTAACACAGGCTTCTCAAACTTGAGCCTGGTACAGAATCCCCTGATGGGCTTGTTAAAACTCTGGTTGCTGAGCCCCACCTCAGGTTCCTGACTCAGTAGGCCTGGGGCCTGGTGCTGCTGGCCAGGGGACCCTGCTGGGGAATGTAGCGCTAGCTGGTGTTCTGCAGTGGTGTCTGCAGAGAGGCCTCCACTTCTCCTTCGGTGTCATGGTTACCTTAGTATAAGCCACAGTGGGTTCCCAGGCCAACCTAGCAAGGTCCCTGATTGATTGTTTTGTTTTTTTAAAATATATTTTATTGCTTTTTTACAGACAGGAAGGGAGAGGGATAGAGAGTTAGAAACATTGATGAGAGAGAAACATTGATCAGCTGCCTCCTACACACCTCCCACTGGGGATGTGCCCACAACCAAGGTATATGCCTTTGACAGGAATCGAACCTGGGACCTTTCAGTCCGCAGGCTGATGCTCTATCCACTGAGCCAAACAGGTTAGGGCAGGGGTGGGCAAACTTTTTGACTCGAGGGCCACAGTGGGTTCTTAAACCGGACTCAGAAGAAGGAGCTGCGGCCGTGTTTCCCGACATTGCCATGTTAACACTGCTGCTGGCAAGAGAACCCTCCGCTCTTTCGGCTCCGCGGGCCGGATAGAACAGCCGAATGGGCCGGATCCGGCCCGCGGGCCGTAGTTTGCCCACGGCTGGGTTAGGGCATCCCTGATTGTTTTAAACCTGTCATCTGTACAGCTATCCTCTTGAATATCCCTAGTTTAGACAAAAAACAAGATATATAGTGAATAGGCTAGCAGTATTCCTTTTGCCACTATAATACAATAACATTTTGGGTAAAATGTCTGCACTGTTGTAACGCCTGGTGAAGGCCATGTTTGCAATGATTTTTCTCCGACCATGACCATGTCAAAGAAGGTGGATGGATGCCTTTTTCTGAGTGCCTCATTTTCCGCTCTGCTCTCTTTTCTTTTAAAAAATAGCATAGTTTCCCTGCCGGGCATGTTTCAGTGGTTGAGTGCTGACCTATGAACTAGGAGGTCACAATTTCTGATCAGAGCACATGCCCAGGTTGCGGGCTCAATCCCACAAAATAAGAAAATAGCATAGTTATCAATTTGTTAATTGTGGTGGCCCCACTCACATTTTTATCAAATTAAGGTGCATTTGCACAAATATTTTTTTAAGAATTACTGGCTTATAAAAATAAATCCTCGCACATATATGTGGAGAAGGAGGCACTTGGTGAATGAAGAGTGAGCGTTGTCATTTTTCCCCATCCCCCCATTTTAGGCTGAGGATTGTACTGTAGATCTGGCTCCATTAAAGTTTCCATTTTCTTCATGAATAAAGAATATTTTTATTACTTGAGAAACGGATATAAATTCTTAAATTCTTTGGAGGGGATTTTAAAAGTATAACTCAGATTAAGCAAGGAGTCAGTTTGTATCTTGGAAGGTGTAACTTGGTTGTAATAAAGCTTTAGTTTTATGTCTTGTCATACAGTTTACCACGTTTTTTATAGATTCTCTTAAATTATCATCTTAAATTAAAGTTGAGGAAATCAAGATAATAAGTAGTAGAACTTGTCCTCAACCAAAGATTGCTAATTTTCAGTTGGTCCCATATTCTGTCCTCTTGCCCTCACCCTGCCTCACTGCCCCAGGTCTGCCCTCCTGCCAAGTAGGTGTTTGCCATTTTGGACAAGAGAGCCTGAGCTATTTTAAAAAATATTTTTAAATTGATTTTAGAGAGGGGGGCGGGGGGGGGGGTGGAGAGACATCGATGTGAGAGAGAAACATCAATTGGTTTCCTCTCATACACACCCTGACCGAGATGAACCCATAAACCTGGGCATGTGCCCTGAACTGGCAACCTTTCAGTGCATAGTACGATGCTCAACCAACTAAGCCACGTCGGCCAAGGCATGAGCTATTTTTAAAAATTGATACCCAAGCAATTGTTGTTTATATTTATTCTTGGAACTTTAAAAAAACACACAAATAATTGTCAAACGTAGACATGGGGATTCATGATTTTGTCAGTGCATTAATTCAGCACCCCCTGTGAGTGGGACAGGGAGTAGATCCATACAGCCTCTCCTCGCCCTGGCCGGTGTGGCTTGTTGCTTAGAGCCTCGGCCTGCCCACTGAAGGGTCACAGGGTCCATTTCCAGTTAAGGGCACATACTGGGGTTGCAGTTTTAACCCCCGCCCCGCCTCAGTCAGGGCACCTGCGGGAAGCACCCTGTCGATGTTTCTCTCTCTTTCTCTTTCTCTCTCTCTCTCTCTCTTCCCACCCCTACTCCCCTGCTTCCCTTCCACTCTCTGTAAAAAAAAAAAAAAAAAAAAATCAGTGGAAAATATCCTTGGGTGAGGATTAATAACAACAATACAAATATAGCCCCTTCTGGCACTAAAGGTTATAAAGTGAATCAAATTTTATAGTGGTTGTAACTTGCAACCATTTCAGAATTAGAAAAATTTTCAAAGCTATTATCAACTGTTACCTTGTTTAAAATTATTGTTTATGAAGTATTTCAAATACAGAAACAAATGAAGAAACTAGAACAGATAGCTGTGAAGTCACCATCCGTATTAAACAAATGAGCTTGACTTTTAAAATCCAAATGACAGTTTATAGTTATCGTATGTGCAGAACAGGATTTTTTTTTTGCTGAGAATCTGCAGTGTGAAATCTGAGGAAATAGTGGAATGTGGTGAAGTCTTTTGCAAACTGTAAGCCGCCCCATTCCTCAGTTTATACGTGCCCCTGCGGAAGGAGCATTTGGTCGTGGTGCCAGTCAGAAGGGCCACCAGATGACTTGTTCTGTTTCACACGCCATGCTGTGCACAGTGTTTGAGGGTAGGTATAGGTGAGCAGACAGGCCTTGTACCGTGGTCCTTCTGCTCTGGAGTCCTGTCTCAGATTATTAGAATGCCGTGGAAAAGACAGAAATCCCTTCAGATTGGGGTGGCTGATCACTTCCTCTGTGTTTTCTTTTAAAAATCAGTTCTAGGCTCTCCATTTTGAATTGCTGGAGAGTGTCTGTTACTCTTTTGGTGTGATTTTGACCAGAGGCCTGTGGCCATCTGTAAAATTCTCATGTCAGGACACAGCATTCTCTCTGTGACTCGGACAGAGCTGCCGCTTTGCCCGCACTGGGGCTCCCCTCACAAGGCCTCTTCTGCGTTTTGAGTTCTTTGTCACTTAAGTCCCAGGAGCATTAAGCAGGGCAGGGCCGCAGGGCCTCCTGGAACACCTCAACCATGTCCTCGTTGCCTGTGCTTACAGAGTCAAAGGATTTGCCTCCAGCATCTTTCTGTTTCAGGCCTTTGTGGTCCCTTCTTCCACAGTCAGGGTCTCTTCACAGCCCTTACCAAGCTGTAAATACCTCTGTCCTGAGTATTCATTTAGGTTGGTATTTGATTGTTGAGCTTAAAATTACATTCAGAGCAATCTAATGTAATTATTTTGTAAGATTATAATTTATTTTTAAATCCTCACTCAAGAAAATGTGGTTTTTATTTTTTATTGATGAGAGAGAGAGAGAGAGAGAGAGAGAAAGAGAGAAAGAGAGAAACATCGATGTGAGAAAAAAAAACCCCAAAAACATTGCCTCCCGTCTTTGCCCTGACCGGGAATCAAACCCACAAGCTAGGTATGTGCCCTCATTGGGAATCAAGCCCTCAACCTTTTAGTATATGGGACAATCCTCCAACCAACTGAGCCACCCGGCCAGGGCTGTAAGATTGTGATTTTATAAACTATGTGAGGAAATATGGTATAACTTTCAGATTATAAAGGCTTTCAGATTCAGGGAAATCACTGTGCTTCTATGGTCTAGCATTATTTTTATTTTCAAATGCAAACTCGCATATGCTTCTAGTTCTATCATGAACTTAAATTTTAATTAAACTGGTTACAGTACAAATGCTGGAAAACTTATCTTTAATTTAAATTAGGTTTGCTTTTTAATGTCCCTGCCTTTTTGTTTGTGTGATTCTATTATAACCAGAGATTACATCTATTACAATGACGTGTATGCCTTTGACCTGGACACATTCACGTGGAGCAAGCTGTCCCCATCGGGGACTGGGCCCACACCCAGATCTGGCTGCCAAATGTCTGTCACTCCCCAGGGCAGCATTGTCATCTATGGGGGCTACTCAAAGCAGGTAAGGTGTGGCATGTAGGAAAATACAGTAACTTCTGTATTTTCATCAACAATGAGAACTTATTGCATATTAGTTTCATATAAACGATGCCTTTATTGAATTAGAAATGGACAGAGATGGTGTTAATCTGCTCCAGTCATATTACGTTCTAATCTCTACGCCCAAAAACACTGCAGGATGAATAATTGTGTACGTAGGGATCTAATGCTATAGACTGTTTCACTGTAGAATATACCACGACTTGTTTCTCCTTTCTGTTGCTAGTGGGCCTTTTCTTTTCTCACCTACAAGCAGTGCTGACATGCACCTGAACCTTCTCATGCACATCTCTTGGTTCAGGTGCACTAGAGGGTCTCCTGCTGGCTCCTGGAGTGTGTCCTTCACACGGGGTGCCCTCACACCGTCAAACCCACTGGCATTGCTCTCCCTCCATTGTTATCAGCACTTCACCAACATGTAAGCGGGTGTGAGTCTGAGAGATGAATTGGTATCTCATTGTAGGCTTTTTCTTATTTTTATTTTGAAAACTTTTTGACATTCAGTGACCAGAAAGAATTAGTGAATACTTATATATCTCCCCAGCTAGGTTCTGCCATTGATATTTCACTGTACTTGTTTTATCACATATTTGATCATATCTATACTGCTACCGATCCATTTTTTAATGTATTGCAAAGAAAAGTATAGATATCTGTATACTTCCCCTAAATACCAGAACATGTATCACCGAGTAGAATTCCATGTTTAATTTTTAATGTGAAAATATCTATAAAAGTGCACACAGTTTGAGTGTGTACTTGCTTGTTATGACAGATGGATGCCCCTTGTGAATTATAGTTCTGCTGAGCCCTTCCTAGCCTCCCTTGCCCTTACCACCCCCAGAGGCAAGGGCTGTGCTGGGATTTCCCACCATGTATTCCGTTTGCCTGTTCTGGAGCTTCAGATAGTCATGCAGCACGTGTTCTTTAGAAGCGGAAGCCTCCTCTCGCCCAGCATGTTTGGAGGTTTGGCCACATGGCACGTTTCAGTTAACTGCTACTTCACACTGAGTATTCCTCTGTAACACACCATCGTTGTTCACTTTTTATTGGTGGGCACCTGGTTTATTTCCACTTTCTGACTATTATGAATAAAGCGCTGTGAGCATTCTTGTGCAAGTCATTCTGTGGCTGCACGTTTGATATCTCTCGGGTAGATCTCTAGGGGTGAGCCTGATGGCTTACAGGGGAGTCTAACTTAATTTAATAAGAAACTGTTGTGCTTCATCCCAAAAGAGTTGCACCTAAATTTCCTGAGAGTGTGGCTGTTCCACATACTTGCCAGCACCTAATGGTATCACACTTTTTTTTTTTTTAATTAAATCTTTATTGTTCAGATTATTACATTTGTTCCTCTTTTTTTCCCCCCAAAACTCCCCTCCTCCCAGTTCCCGCCCCACCCTCCGCCCTCACTCCCCACCCACTGTCCTCATCCATAGGTGCACGATTTTTGTCCAGTCTCTTCCCGCATCTCCCATACCCCTTTCCCCCCCAAGAATAGTCAGTCCATTCCCTTTCTATGTCCCTGATTCTATTATAATCACTAGTTCATTCTGTTCATCAGATTATTTATTCACTTGATTCTTAGATTCACTTGTTGATAGATGCATATTTGTTGTTCATAATTTGTATCTTTACCTTTGTCTTCCTCTTCCTTTTCTTAAAGGATACCTTTCAGCATTTCATATAATCCTGGTTTGGTGGTGATGAACTCCTTTAGCTTTTCCTTGTCTGTGAAGCCCTTTATCTGACGTTCAATTCTGAATGATAGCTTTGCTGGATAAAGTAATCTTGGTTGTAGGTTCTTGGTATTCATCACTTTGAATATTTCTTGCCACTCCCTTCTGGCCTGCAAAGTTTCTGTTGAGAAATCAGCTGACAGTCGTATGGGTATTCCCTTGTAGGTAACTGAGCCTCTTTCTCTTGCTGTTTTTAAGACTCTCTCTTTATCTTTTGCTCTTGGCATTTTAATGATGATGTGTCTTGGTGTGGTCCTCTTTGGATTCCTTTTGTTTGGGGTTCTCCGCGCTTCTTGGACCTGTAAGTCCATTTCTTTCACCAGGTGGGGGAAGTTTTCTGTCATTATTTCTCCAAATAGGTTTTCAATATCTTGCTCTCTCTCATCTTCTGGCACCCCTATAATTCTGATGTTGGTACGCTTGAAGCTGTCCCAAGGCTCCTTACACTATCCTCGCATTTTTGGATTCTTTTTTCATTTTGCTTTTCCGGTTGGGTGTTTTTTGCTTCCTCGCATTTCAAATCATTGACTTGATTCTTGCGCTCCTCTGGTCTGCTGTCGGGAGTCTGTATAATATTCGTTATTTCAGTCCGTGTATGCTTAATTTCTAGTTGGTTCCCCAATATAAGATCGAGGGTCTCATTAGTTTTCTTGTAGATCTCATTAAGTTTATCGGCGGCTTCTAAACAGTTCTTGAGAGACCTTAAAAGTGTGGTTCTGAACTCTATATCTTCCATTGACAATTTTGTCCTGTTTCTTTGTCTCCGCATTTTGTTATGCTTCCTTGGTGCACCCCCTAGTGGTCTTTGTTCGCAGTCTTATAGTTAAATCTTGATTGTTGTAGCTAATTCCAGGGAGGGTTTGACCTCCAGGCCAAGTGGCTATGAGAATCAGCTGTGTCAGCAGTGAGAGAACTTCTGTCCTCTAGGGAGGTGCTAATCTGGCGTTTGCCTGAGGCTATCCGGCAAATGCCTGTGTGCAGGGCTTGGGCGGGGCGGGTCGCACAGGATCAACAGGGTGGGCCGGAGAGAGCAGTTATGGCGGCTCTCAGTCCTGTCCCCAGGGGCTCTGCCTCTCTGAGTCCCAGCACCCGCTGCACACCTCGGAGAGAAAGCTGCACTCGCTCTGACCAAAGCCAGACAGTCCCGCTTCTCCCGTTTGAGTCTGGGTCCCTAAAGACTCGCCCGGATCTGGAGCTCAGAGTCTGCGACTCCCTCCCGATTGGAAACGCCAACCGCGCCCTCCGCCGCCAGCCCGCTCCGCGCACTCAGCACCTCAGAATTTGACTTCAGCACTGCGCCTCCTCTGAGTGTCCATATGCGTTTCTCTTTCCTCCTAGTTGTAGGACTTCCACTCAGCCAGCGTTCCAGTGGTTCTGGGTGATGTCCCTTCTGTTTTTTGGTTTCACTTTTGAAGTAGTTGTTCAAAGCAGCAAACTCCGGCGTTAACCTATGCCGCCATCTTGGTTCTCCTCTCGGTATCACACTTTTTACTAGTACATTCAGCCTTTCTGATGGATGTGTGCCATCTCATGTGGTTTTCATTCTCATTTACCCCACGTGAATGGGCCCTGTGACTTGGTACCTGAGTAGGCTGCCTGTGGGGTGGTTGGGACAACGGAGGCAGAGAGATGCCCTGTGTCCACTGTCTTTCATACCCCCACCCACCCCAGTGAGTAGTCAGCTTTTGTTCTGGAAAGAGAAAATGTTTGATAGTCAGGAGGGTCCTGAAGACACAGGCTGGTGTGGCCAAAAGCTGTGCAAAGTGCCCAGGTCCAGTACTCGATCACAGCAAATGCTTCATAGAGTAAACCAGGACGATAAACAGTGGAATCTTGTGAAGCTGTTATTGCTGTTAATCAAAATGGTGCCTAATTCTCGGTGCCTAATCCTCTCCAGCTCGCCACATGAACTAGCTGGGTGGGTACTCCAAGTCCACTTAATCCAGACCTGTAGCATTTGAATTGCAGTGAAAAGCTTATCTGGTGGGATTTATCTGAATTAGGAAAGATTTGAGTTGTGAACGCTGTGGAATATTAAAAGTGGTTAGTCTAAGTAGGCGGTGGGCTGCTCAAATCCCGATTTGAACACCCTTCGGAGATGACTCCTTCCTGGTGTCACTCCCTGGCAAAGGGGATGGGTGGCTGGACAACCTGCACGGTGAGCTGATGACGTGCCTGGTGTGTAGTCCCGTGAAGATGCCTTGGAAGTGTCTTGGAGCAGCCTGCACACGTAGGGTTTTAAATCAGGAGGTGTCAAAAGGAACAGCACCTTAGGGTTTCTGTGTTTCACAAATGGTTCAGTTGGGGACCTCAGCCATCACTGTGCCTGGTTTTGAAAAATTACTGCCATTTTAAATCCAGGGGAATCAGGACAAAATTCTGATAACTTTATAAATCCAGCCTCCCACTGGCCAAGATGCTGAAGGTGGCAGGTTAGAGAATGGAAGGCAGCTTTGCCTTCTCCCCTGCTCCAGACACGTGGGCCAAGAGGAATCCACAGCATTTTAAAGTACAGTAGTACCCCTTATGTGTGAGGGATACGTTTTAAGACTCCTAGTGGATGCTTGAAACCATGGAGAATACCAAACCCTATGTATCCTATATTTTTTCCTATACACACATACCTGTGATAGTTTAATTTCTAAATTAGACTAAGTGAGGGATTAACAACACTAATAAAGTAGAACATATAATCTACACTAATAAAAGAGAAACATGGTAATTGGCGTACGACCGCTACCCTTCCCATTGGCTAATCAGCGAGATATGCAAATTAACTGACAGCCAAGATGGCGACCGGCAGCCAGGCAGCTTGAGACTAACATGAGGCTTGCTTGCTTCAGTGACGGAGGACTCCAACGTTCCCCGCCTGCCGCTGCAGGCCTCGGAGCAGAGCGGGCAGTTTGAAACATAGTAACATATAGAAGCTAAAAAAAACTCCAGAAACCTGCTTTCAGCGAGCTGGGATCTCAGAGCTGGAGTTGATACAGAGTTTCGATTGTAGAACCCAAACAAGTCTGGGCCCGAGGGTTTCCGCTTTCCCAGCAGCAGAGGCCGCAGAGCTGGAGCCACAGCTAAAGCTGGCCCAGAATAAAAAAGAAAAAAAAGAAAAAAAGGAGCAGTTGGGAGCTTCAGTCACTCGACAGCCTGAAAACAGCCCTCAGCCCCTCACCCAGACTGGCCAGGCACCCCAGTGGGGACCCCACCCTGAAGGGTGTATGAC